AACAACAACTCTTTCTCTGAGTCATTCTAGTATCAATGTAAAGTTCCCACCCTGAAGAGCGTGTGTGTGAACAGTAACAGTCCTCAGTATAGAAATCCAGCCTGTCGTTTTAATGTCCCTGTTATCATTCAGACCTGAGGGAGGAGACATTAAAGCCAAACGATCTTGTTGTAGCGTCCTGTGCATGACCACTCTCCCTAATGCTGCCCCCCTCCCTTCACACACACACACACACACACACACACACACACACACCCAACCACTACACACACAACACAACACCACCACACACACACACACACACACACACACCTCACAGGCTTGGCAGCAGAGTTACCCTGTCTTTATTTACATGGTTTGGGGCGAGGGGGATTACGAGGATGTCCACAGGCCCTGATCGTACCCCACGCATGACTGGCATTCATGTGCTTGGCAGCTAAACAGCAGGGGAGATGCAGGGAGGCACGCTTGTGTGTGTGTGTGGGTATGAGTCACGTTCCCACCATTCTCAATCAGCGCTGGATGATCTAGGATTACTGGTGCTGCCTCATTTCATCCTCTCACGGGGGCTGGTGTGTTTGTCTGGAAGACAGAAAGACACTGCTGTCTAAAACACAATGCTAATAGACACAACTGTAGATAGAACCAACTGTAGGTGACTACGCATAGGCATGAGGCTGTACACATAGGCATGCTGAGAAGGAGGGAGGGAGAGGCAGGGAGGAGGCAGAGAGCGAGAGAGAGCCAAGCACCCTGTCTAACACACTATGCTAATCAGAGCTATAGATATCAGAGCTATAGCTACAGACCCAGTGAGGACTGAATGTAAAGCCTGGAGATCCTAGAGGAGATGGGACACATGACCATGCTTAAACAGAGATGGATCATGAGATCTAGGTTCTGTATGTCCAGCAAAGATATTTGATATTATCTGCAGAGCTTTGGTACCAGCTGAGAGCTGTAATACAGTTATATAAGTCTGGTGTTGTAGAATGAATGGCTAGAAATGTATAAAAGTTAACTTATGTTGCTCCTGCCTTTACAAGCAGTTTTGAATATGATTTCACTTTCTCAAAGGGCAATGTCTCAGTATCACTATAACTGTGTGGATTACCTTAAATCAGGGGTGTCAAACTCATTCCATGGAGGGCCTAGTGTCTGCTGGTTTTTGGTTTTTCCTTTCAATTAAGACCTAGACAACCAGGTGAGGGGAGTTCCTTACTAATTAGTGACCTTAATTCATTAATCAAGTACAAGGGCGGAGCGAAAACCCGCAGACACTCGGCCCTCCGTGGAATGAGTTTGAGCCTTAAATAATAAATGACCAGTCCTGTATGCATTGGTTCGACTTTGAACCTAAACCGCAAAAAAATAACCCACATTTATCGCTATTCAGAGAAATAAATATTAAACCACACAGTAATTATTGAATTTAAACGTAACAAATTGTCTATTTTTTCTGTTCCAAATAAAGTAATTATCTTTCCTCTGTGTGCAGCATGCTATGGAGCGATGACAATAGGGGATTAACAGGGCTTCTAATTCTCTTCCCAAATCCACTTTAGCCAGGCTAGTGAGTCTGCAGCTGAGCTGTGGTTTATAGCTAGTGAGTCTGACTTGGGGCTCAGCTAGGTTTATATCCCCCTCACACTGCTGAGCTACTTCTGGCTAGGAGGTGGGGGTGGGGGAGAGGGGGAGGGGTGGAGGTGGAGGAGAGGGGGAGGGGGGGAGAGAGGGAGAAAGAAGGAGAGAGAGGAAGAAGAGCAAGGGAGAGAGAGAGAGGGGAAGATGGAACCAACTGTAGGTGACTAGGCATGAGGCTGTACACATAGGCATGCTGAGAAGGAGGGAGGGAGAGGCAGGGAGAGAGAGAGAGAGGAAGAAGGGATGGGAGAGACCATGACCCTGCCTGCTTTCTCCTCTGCAGAACTGATTGAAGGAAACCTGATGTACCAGGGTCATAATGTCTCTCCCCTGACACCCACGCTATAGGACCTGTTGACCTATAGGTTAAGCTATAGGTTGAGGACAGAGACTATAGGAACACTTTTCCTGCCAGCCAGGTAGACTACATCATATCATCCAGGTGGTTTATGGTAACATATGGAGAATGGTCATTGAATAATTCATGTTATGTCCCCCTGCACCAATGATATGTGACCTCTGACCCTCTGTGCTTTCAGTGTATCTCTCAGTCCTGCTCCCAGGGTGGGTCTGGTGGAATTACCGTCAGGTCCCAGCTGTATGCCTCTATGACTATGCTGATGTCAGGGTTGCAGTTTCTGATGAATGTTGTGAAAAGGGCTGTATAAGTACAATTTGTTGAATTGATTGAACAGAGGGCCTGATTCCCTTGTCTAGCTCACTGAAATACTGCTCTGTCCGGCTGACGTGACCGCAAAGACATCACCACTGCCGGATGTTGCTGAAGGCACCTCATTCACCTCGTTGCCCGTCAATATAACAACTAATCAGGACAGACGGGGAGGCAGGAAGTCTTAAGGATGAATCACCTCTTCATGGCTTCTCACCTCTTTTCCCCCTCCTCACCACTTCTCCCCCTCCTAAAACCCCCCTCACATGACTCACCACAGCTCCCCCCGTCCCTTCTCCCCCCGCCTCCCTCGACCCTTCACCTCGCGCACCAACCCCTGCCCACCCGTGCTCCACCCTCCCCCCTCCTCACCCGCCACCCCGACCCGAGCCCCCCCACAAACCCCCCCCACCCCGCCTCAACCCTTTCCCCCCCCCCCCAGTCCCCGCCCTTCACACCTCCCCCTCCTCCATCCCTTCTCCCCCCTCCTCACCAGCCCTTCTTCCTCACACCGCCTCCCCCTTCTCCCCTCCTCCCACTTCTCCCCCCCTCACCCCATCCCTTCTCCCCGCTCCTCACCCCTTCCTCACCCTCTTCTTCACCCCAGTCTCCCCTTTTTCTCCATCCCACTCCTCACCCCTTCTTCTCATCCCTTCTCAACCCTCCTCCTCCTTCTCCCCCTTGTCTCTTCTTCTCTGCCCTCCTCCCACCTCCTGAACCCTGAGAGTAGTGGCCAGATGGAACGTTTAGCGACTAGCTAATTAGTCCTTAGGCTTTGGCACTCCCTCACTGTCTCATGTGATTTTCCTCCCTCTCCATAGACCTCACTATCAGTTAGCTTCAGATTGGGCAAAGGTGCGCATAACTCAGTGTCCTATGTAGAGTTTGTATCCATGACCATGACATACACTGGGGTCCGAAATTATTGACACCCTTGATAAAGATGAACAACAATGACTGTATAAAATAAATATTTCAAATACTCAGCTATATTGTATGCTCCTGTTTTCAATAGCTTTCAATACCTCACCTTGCTAGGATCACGGCACTGAGCCTTTTTCTCAAATGTTTCATGAATTGGAGAACACATTGGGAGGGATCTTACACCATTCCCCATACATAATCCTTCCAGATCCTTGATATCCTACGTCTGCGCTTAAGGACTCCCCTCTTCAATTCAATCCACAGGTTTTCAATGGGTTTGAAGTCCAGAGACTGAGATATTTTTCTGAACCATTAGTATAAAATAATATAATTTCCCAATTTTTTAGAGTATACAATTTTTGCTCATCTTTATCAAGGTTGTTGATCATTTTGGACCCCACTGTCCTTCTGCTACTCATCTTGAGAGAGTGAGGTGTGTGTGTGTGTGTCAGGGTTCCCTCCGTAAGTAATATGCTAGCCTGCAGGTTGCCCCTGTGTTGCTCGCCGGACCTTCCACACATACACACACACACACACACTGCTCTGTCACCACATTATAGTAGACCTTCTGCCTATGCTTAGCCTTTCATCCATTTGCCTATATGCGTGCGCATTCGTGAATGTGTCTTTGTCTGTGTGTGTTTGTGTACAGCTGTGTGTGACTGTGTTCCTAACACAAGGTGAAGTGTGTTAGCCAGAATACCCTAGTTATGTGGCTTTCCCTCTGAGGGTGGTGGGTGCATCTCTGGCTCTCAACCTCCAGGAAAGCCTCAACCAGGGAAAGAGACCCAGAAATAATAACGCTGTGGACATTCTGAGGCTGGGCTGGCGGCTTTTCTTGTCATCATCATTATGTCGCCTGCTGCCTCTTGGCCATATGTGTGTACGAGTGTGTCCCAGAGGAGCGCCATTTGTTGGATACGATCATGTCCAGTATCTTTCTTCTAGTGACAAACATGTTTTAATCCGACAGCCATACTGTATATCTACATTTCAAAACGTCACATAGCTAGTGTTGTCAAAATACTGGGGTATCATTACAGCACTCAGAATATGCCCTTTCTCCCCTCTCTCTCGCTCTCTCGCTCTCTCGCTCTCTCGCTCTCTCGCTCTCTCTCTCGCTCTTTCACCTTATCTCTCTCTCTTCTTCTTAGAATACCTCCTTGACAAAGTTCTGCCAAGGTCCCAGGGGTTCTGTTGGTTGTTGAAGGAAAATATAGACCCATATGGAGGAGTACGTTAATCGTAACCCCCCCCCCCCCCCCCCCACACACACACACACACACATACACACCCACCAAAGAAAGAAGAAAGAAAGATTCTGATGAAAAAGTACAGTAGGCTCATTTCATGCTCTCAAATCTATAGACTACTTTACTGTTACATGATTGCAGGAGTTAAAACAAGCACACACAATCCATACAGACTTTCCAACACCCATCACCCCAACACAACAGGTGTCACAAAGTAGTTTACAGTAACCTTACAGTGTTTCAGTTATGACCCTCACATTACATTATATATTTGTCACCATATCAGCTAGAAGCATTTAATGAGTGTGTAAGACACAAATATGTGTATGATGCATGGAATGGTTATTGCTTTATACTGTTTCTTTATGATAATGGAATAAAAAAATGGAGAATGGAGAAAAAAATAAAAGGTATTACCAAAATTACTTTTAAATGTACTTTTCATTGTTTTAAACTGTACTCAGAAATCAATCAATCAAACAATCAAAGAAAAGTAAATGCACGGTGCATTAGCGGTAAAAGAGTAACACAGCTGACTCAAGCATCTGTTTTGATGCACTGAAGCCTACATGGGTCCCATAGCCATTCCAGGCAAAGCCAGTGAAATCCCCACACTGAAGAGGGTTAGCCTCAGGGAAAAACCCACCGCCACCAATACAGTAGTGTTCAACATTACCGCCTTTGGGTTTGACCCCAGAACAGATGGCTGTGGCCGCCCGTTCATGGTTTATGGCTCTGAAACTGATGAAGCCTCCCTCGGTCTCCCCTCCAGAGTAAGGGCCGTATAAATTTTTGGTAGACTCTTTGTCCCCGAGGTCATACACTATGGGAATGGAGGGTCCATTGTCGGACAGGTGTGCCCCAACGTTGTACTCGACCGGGTAGCGGTGGAAGAGTTGGTACAGGTTTCCCCCGTACAGATGGAGGAAGCGCCTGTCAGTGTGGTAGCGCATGATGGCGGCCAGTTTCCAGTGGTTGACCGGAGTGTTGTTGGGAACGTGCCACACCGACATGTCATCTGCTTCGATGTCGTAGTAGCCAGGATTCTTGAAGTCGTCGTCTGTGGCTCCCTCCACTGTTCCGAAAGTCTTCCTGTTGGCCCAGTTGCCTTCCCCTTGTGGCCAGTTGGCGTTGTTGCCCTGCTGGCTGGTCCAACGATCGCCCACCGTGCACTTCCCGTAGATGTTGTCCTCATGCACGCTTGCCACCAGAGTCCAGCCGCCACCCGCTGTGGTCATGTCGCAGAAGGTCTGGTAGACCACCCCAGTAGCTGTGGTTAGGTAGTACAGACCGTTCTCAGATTGACCATATCTGTCCTTAACTTCCTTGCAGCTTCTGGCATTGAACTGAGCCCTATTTCTTAACTCAATTACTGTGACAACCTTTGGAGCACTTGCCTGCCCAATCTTCTTTACAGAATCAAGCGGTGAAGTGGTGGTGCATGACGTCTGAAGTGACATCAGTAGAGGGATCGTCAGCAGAAAAGCCAGGTACATCATGTCTGTTGTAGTGAGGTTTCAGTGAGGATCTGTTGGACCTTTGCTTTCTTGAGGTACTTATATGTTAAGTCCTTGGCAATGCTCCAATATCAATGTTTGATAAAGCACATGTGTTTTTAACAATGACACACCTGGCAAATGTGGTCATGTGCACTCATGTCAAAAAGATCTTTGCGGTCCTTGTGTGCAAAGATTAAGAAACACTGTGGTGTGATCATTTAGGACAGCCCATATTAAACAAAAATGTAGGCAGTAGCCCATTTTGTTTAATCTTTGTACATGGATATGTCAACAAAATAAAATATTTCCTTATGGGCCAGTAACCGAAAGGTTGTTTTAAGGTGCACTAATTTGTAGTTTATAAGTGTATATGCAAGTAGCTAATAAGGTCTTTATTATGTCTTATTAGCCACGTTAGGCCCTTATTAAAGGTGCAATATGCAGAAATGGCTCAGCCGTTTCCTGGTTGCAAAAATTCTAATAGTTCGCCTAATTTCAGTTTATGCGACAAAACATAATTGTGTAGAGAATCATTGTACCATCCAAACCACTGTGAAATATACACTGCTCAAAAAAATAAAGGGAACACTTAAACAACACAATGTAACTCCAAGTCAATCACACTTCTGTGAAATCAAACTGTCCACTTAGGAAGCAACACTGATTGACAATACATTTCACATGCTGTTGTGCAAATGGAATAGACAACAGGTGGAAATTATAGGCAATTAGCAAGACACCCCCAATAAAGGACTGGTTCTGCAGGTGGTGACCACAGACCACTTCTCAGTTCCTATGCTTCCTGGCTGATGTTTTGGTCACTTTTGAATGCTGGCGGTGCTTTCACTCTAGTGGTAGCATGAGACGGAGTCTACAACCCACACAAGTGGCTCAGGTAGTGCAGCTCATCCAGGATGGTACATCAATGCGAGCTGTGGCAAGAATGTTTGCTGTGTCTGTCAGTGTAGTGTCCAGCGCATGGAGGCGTTACCAGGAGACAGGCCAGTACATCAGGAGACGTGGAGAAGGCCGTAGGAGGGCAACAACCCAGCAGCAGGACCGCTACCTCCGCCTTTGTGCAAGGAGGAGCAGGAGGACCACTGCCAGAGCCCTGCAAAATGACCTCCAGCAGGCCACAAATGTGCATGTGTCTGCTCAAACGGTCAGAAACAGACTCCATGAGGGTGGTATGAGGGCCCGACGTCCACAGGTGGGGGTTGTGCTTACAGCCCAACACCGTGCAGGACGTTTGGCATTTGCCAGAGAACACCAAGATTGGCAAATTCGCCACTGGCGCCCTGTGCTCTTCACAGATGAAAGCAGGTTCACACTGAGCACATGTGACAGACGTGACAGAGTCTGGAGACGCCGTGGAGAACGTTCTGCTGCCTGCAACATCCTCCAGCATGACCGGTTTGGCGGTGGGTCAGTCATGGTGTGGGGTGGCATTTCTTTGGGGGGCCGCACAGCCCTCCATGTGCTCGCCAGAGGTAGCCTGACTGCCATTAGGTACCGAGATGAGATCCTCAGACCCCTTGTGAGACCATATGCTGGTGCAGTTGGCCCTGGGTTCCTCCTAATGCAAGACAATGCTAGACCTCATGTGGCTGGAGTGTGTCAGCAGTTCCTGCAAGAGGAAGGCATTGATGCTATGGACCGCCCGTTCCCCAGACCTGAATCCAATTGAGCACATCTGGGACATCATGTCTCGCTCCATCCACCAACGCCACGTTGCACCACAGACTGTCCAGGAGTTGGCGGATGGTCTCCTGAGGGATCTCCTCCCAGACCTGGACTAAAGCATCCGCCAACTCCTGGAGTATGCCCAGGCGTTGCAGGGAGGTCATACAGGCACGTGGAGGCCACACACACTACTGAGCCTAATTTTCACTTGTTTTAAGGACATTACATCAAAGTTGGATCAGCCTGTAGTGTGGTTTTCCACTTTAATTTAGAGTGTGACTCCAAATCCAGACCTCCATGGTTTGATAAATTTGATTTCCATTGATAATTTTAGTGTGATTTTGTTGTCAGCACATTCAACTATGTAAAGAAAAAAGTATTTAATAAGATTATTTCATTCATTCAGATCTAGGATGTGTTGTTTAAGTGTTCCCTTTATTTGTTTGAGCAGTTTATTTTCCATAACCCAAAATATATTTTCAGCTGTTTGAAGCTGGTGTACAAAACCAAAAGTAAAAAACGCAAAAACAAAAGTTTAGAATGGGAAACATAGAAATAGCACCAATACAACAGATTGACCGCTTCTTAGACTTGCTTTCAATGAGAAGACAGGTCTATAACTCACATATCTATGTGAATTTGGCCGGATCGCCCAAAAAGTTACATATTGCAGCTTTAAGTATTTTTTTCTTTTTCAAACATAAGTCGTGTTAGTCATAATAGAGCAATATTAGTATTTAATAAAGAGCAGGTTAAACAAGAAACACTCTTAGTAAGCTGTCTCAATGTTGGACTAATAAGGACATAATGCCTTAAAATGTGTTCCCTATTCTAAAATGTAACCATGTTTTTACTTGCAGAAATATTGTCCAGAAATTACCTCATTGGACAGAAAGGGGAGCACCTCCCCACACCCATGAGCAAAAGCATGTCATGTTTGCGTGAAACAAAGGATTTGTGTAGTTATATGAAATAAGACATTGATTCATATTACAGTGCATTCAGAAAGTATTCAGACCCCTTCACTCTTTCCACATTTTTTTTTACATTACAGCCTTATTCTAAAATTGATGAAATTAATTTTTCCTCATCAATCTACACACGATAACCCATAATGACAAAGCAAATTGTTTTTGCTAATGCATATATAACAAACAAAATATATCCTATTTACATAAGTATTCAGACCCTTTGCTATGAGACTCGAAATTGAGCTCAGGTGCATCCTGTTTCCATTGATCATTCTTGAGATGTTTCTACAACTTGATTGGACTCCACCTGTGGTAAATTCAATTGATTGGACATGATTTGGAAAGGCACACACCTGTCTATATAAGGTCCCACAGTTGACAGTGCATGTCAGAGCAAAAACCAAGCCATAAGGTCGAAGGAACTGTCCGTAGAGCTCAGAGACAGGGTTGTGTTGAGGCACAGATCTGGGGAAGGGTACCAAAAATGTATGCAGCATTGAAGGTCCCCAAGAACACAGTGGCATCCATCATTCTTAAATGGAAGAAGTTAGGAACCACCAAGACTCTTCCTAGAGCTGGCTGCCTGGCCAAACTGAGCAATCGTAGGAGAAGTGCCTTGGTCAGGGTGGTGACCAAGAACCAGATGGTCACTCTGATAGAGCTCAATAGTTCCTCTGTGGGGATGAGAGAACCTTCTAGAAGGAGAACCATCTCTGCAGCACTCCACCAATCAGGCCTTTATGGTAGAGTGGCCAGACGGAAGCCACTTCCTCAGTAAAAGGCACATGACAGCCCACTTGGAGTTTGGCAATAGGCACCTAAAGGACTCTGACCATGAGAAACAAGATTATCTGGTCTGATGAAACCAAGATTGAACTCTTTGACCTGAATGCCTAGCGTCACATTTGGAGGAAACCAGGCACCGCTCATCACCTGGCCAATACCATCCCTACGGTGAAGCATGGTGGTGGCAGCATCATGCTGTGGGGATGTTTTTCAGCAGCAGGGACTAGGAAACTAGTCAGGATCGAGGGAAAGATGAACGGAGCAAAGTACAGAGAGATCCTTGATGAAAACCTGCTCCAGAGCGTTTCCTGGTCTATCCTCCACTGCAAAAGAGGAAGGGGATACCTATTCAGTTGCACAACTGAATGCATTCAACCAAAATGTGTCTTCTGAATCAGAGAGGTGCGGGGGACTGCCTTAATCCACATCTTCGGCGCCCGGGAAGCAGTTGTTGTTGGGAGTTAACTGCCTCGTTCAAGGACGGAAGAGTTTTACACCTTGTAGGTTTGGGGATTCGAACCAGCAACCTTTCGGTTACTGGCCCAACACTCTCAACCGCTAGGCTAAACCACTAGGGGGAGATTTAAAGGAATAGTTTCACTCACATTTCTAAATTACATACTTTGAGGAGGGAAGGGTTAATAAGCCAGGTCAAATGGTTGAACAAAGGCACGGGAGTGAGGAAAAAGCTAAATGAAGGGGCGGCAGTAGCTTTGAGGTTAGAAAGGCAGGTCGATAACCGGCAGCCAGATCTGTGACAGAATATCTGTGCAAATGACCAATAAAGCAAGAATGGTAAAATGAAGGCCAGACTATCTATGGTAGCTGTGCATGTAATGTATCTAGTCCCAAAGTGGCTTCATGGTTCTAAGAGGCTCTGGTGAAGTTTGGTCTTTCAAGTTTCCATTAAGGTACTATTAGTTATCAATGACAATGTGGAAGACGTAGATGCTGTTTTTACACAGGGTCAATAAAAATCTGTTTTGTTTTTCCCCAAAACTCTATCCCCTCACTCTCAAAAATGAATTTTTCAGTTTTACTTACCCTCAAACTTTGGAATCAAAGAGGCCAGGTTCCACTCATTGAGCGTATCCTTTACAAAGCTGTCCATTGGCCTGTCCATTAAATAATTGTTAGAAAAATGGCTTAACTTAGCTACATCAAAGTTAAGGTGAACTCTAACTACTGATAGAACAATGTTTTGCTCTAACATTAGCTAGCTAACAGAATTTGCATCCATCCTCAACTTCACAAGTCAGAAACCATTGAAAACCAGTACAGTAACGCTAGCTAACGTAATCACCATGCAAGCATGAGATAAGCCTGTCAAATAGCTTGGTTAAATTAACCCATATGGACTATAAGTAAAATCTAGCTTGGTCGCTAGCCAGCTAACATTTAGCTAACGAGTGAAACAGTGTCCAACACAGTCCAGAAGAAGTGTCAGACTTAGCTAGCTAAGGTAGCTCGCTAACTCAATGCCACGTCTCGATTACTTGCTCAAGTTCTGGTGGACTTCACGCGCTGGTGGCGGGAGAGTTAGCGCAGTAGCTGGGTCAA